TGCACAGCACTCATCTACCGGGCAACCACACTGAGACTCGGTTTAATAAAAAAAAGTGAGAGGTCAGCGAGTGCTATCGCTTGCAGGCGTCGCTCTTGCTACCGGTCTCCTGACTGGGGTCCTTTGAGCATCGGTGCCTGGGGGGCTGGAGGCTCTTGCCAGAAGGAACCTGCCGTGGGAGCCCCGAGTGGAGCGTGTGCGTTCATGGAGAAGTGGGTGGAGATGGAACGCAGGAGTCCACACCGCAGGCACATGCATCCTTTGACCCAGAGAGCTCTGTGTGCCAAACGCACACAGACTTCCTGGTTTCGGGCAGGCATTTCCCCTCGGGGCTTCGGTTACCTGCCCTCACCAGCCTGTTTTCAAAGGCTGATGCTTCCTGATGTAGGGTGTCAAGTTTTAAAAATTAATTTCTTGACAGTAGAACAAGCATATGTTTACAACTTATTATTATTTTGAGACAGAGTCTCACTCTGTTGCCTGGACTAGAGTGCCATGGCATCAGCCTAGCTCACAGCAACCTCCAATTCCTGGGCTCAAGCGATCCTCCTGCCTCAGCCTCCGGAGTAGCTGGGACTACAGGCATGCGCCACCATGCCCGGTTAATTTTTTCTATATATTTTTAGTTGACCAATTAATTTCTTTTTTTTTTTTTTCTTTTTTTTATTGAGACAGAGTCTCACTTTGTTGTCTGGGCTAGAGTGAGTGCCGTGGCGTCAGCCTAGCTCACGGCAACCTCAGGCTCCTGGGCTCAAGCAATCCTCCTCCCTCAGCCTCCTGAATAGCTGGGACTACAGGCATGTGCTACCAGGCCCGGCTAATGTTTTCTATATATTTTTAGTTGGCCAATTCATTTCTTTCTATTTTTAGTAGAGATGGGGTCTCACTCTTGCTCATAACTGGTCTCAAACTCCTGAGCTCAAATGATCCACCCACCTTGGCCTCCCAGAGTGCTGGGATTACAGGCGTGAGCCACTACGCCCGGCCTCCTCCTTTCTCATGGCTGCCCGGTGTCCCCATGTGGATGTCCTCACGTGTCTTCAGTGGGCATTTCTGCGTCTCGTGTTTTGCTGTTGGGAAGGGTGCAGCGGTGGGTGGTTCTGTGGGTGTCCCACCAGGTGAGGGTGCCCTCTAGGCATGTGGACAGGTGAGAGGAGGGTGTGAGGTTTTTTTTTTTTTATTTTGGCATATTATGGGGGTACAGATTTTAAGGTTTGAATAAATGCCCTTTCCCCCTCTTCCCCCACAAGTCTGAGTTTCCAGCATGACCATCCCCCAGATGGTGCACATCTCACTCATTATGTATGTATATACCTGCCCCCCCGAGTTTGTGAGTTTTGAGTCCTTGCAGATTGCCTTCCTGGCGGTAGTCACCAGGTCCTGGCTGTGCCACACGGGCACCAAGCCTGGGACGTGGCAAGGCAGGAGGCCTCTCTGGCGAGAGAGACGGGCTTCACTTGCTGTCGATGTTTAAGCACTTTGGGGGCCAGACTTGGGGGGCATCTGGTGTAGCCAAATGCCGTGGTCTTCCCAAGACGCGTGAGGTCTCCTTCCTCTGGGCGGTGGAAGGGGCTTCGTGCCCGTCACCTGCGGACAGTGCAGGCTTCTCCACATCCATCCCTGTCCTGGCCCCAAACCTAACAGAGTCAGGGGCAGGATGCCCGTGGGCTGAGCCTGGCCAGTGGGCCCTGGCGGTCCCAACACTGCCCTCATGGCCTGGCCACATGCTCCACGTCAGGCAGCGGCTCTGCATGTTACCTCACCTGCTCTTTGAGGTGGTAACACCATGCGTTAGATCGGGCAGGTCATCTCTGTCCTGTAGGTGAGAAAGTGAGGACAGGGGGTGAGTCACTCTGAGGCCAATGACCACAGGTCGGTCAGAATCTGACCTCATCTGACCTGTGACCCCCTTGCCAGGCTGGGCTGGTCCCCCAGGCATACGGAGGCTGCAGGGGACTTGCTGTGCCACCCTGTGCCAGGTGGTAGCACCTGCTCATGGAGCTGCTGTGGATGGGGAGCTCCAGGCTGCAAAAGCCCTGTGGACGGCTCTCCTCCAAATAACACCTGCCACCTTTGACCCCCATGACACAGAACAGTTTCTTTTCTTTTCTTTTTGTTTTTTGAGACAGAGTCTTTGTTGCCTAGGCTAGAGTAAGTGCCGTGGCATCAGCCTAGCTCACAGCAACCTTAGACTCCTGGGCTCAAGAGATCCTTCTGTCTCAGCCTCCTGAGTAGCTGGGACTACAGGCATGCGCCACCATGCCTGGCTAATTTTTTCTATATATATTAGTTTGCCAATTAATTTCTTTCTATTTATAGTAGACACGGGGGTCTCGCTCTTGCTCAGGCTGGTTTCAAACTCCTGACCTCAAGCAATCCTCCCGCCTCGGCCTCCCAGAGTGCTAGGATTACAGGCGTGAGCCACCGCGCCCGGCCGCCACAGGACTGTTTCAAACACATGTCTGAGTGTCTTGATTCCTCCTCGTCTGTTATTTCACACAAAAGGAAACAGAGTGGCTCTGCTTTTGTCCTGGAGAGGCTTGGACTTCCCTCCAGGGAGAAGCAAGCACTCGGGGGAATCTTAGCCCTTTGCCGAGGTCGGGATGCTGCTGGTGGGAACCAGGTGTCCGGTCCCAGCTCCCGGCTTGATGTGGCTTTAACCGACCTAATGACAACTCCTCAGTCCTCACCGCCTCGTCTGCCCTCCCCTGCAGGGAGTTTTTAAAGCAAGCGAAAGACCGTTTGCATAATCCTGTGTGACCACATTGGTGACAAGTTCATGGCAGCTCTATGCAGTTGTACCTGGGACGTTCCAGCTGGGTGGTCAGGAAACTGTGCTCTGGGGTCTGGCAGTGCTGGGGGGGTGTGGTGGCCCAGCTTGGCCATAGACTAGCGGTGTGGTCTTGGGTGAGTTTCTCAATCTGCCTGAGCCTCCATTTCCTCATCTGTAACGAGGGAATCACGGCACCAACCTCCCAGAGTAGCTGTGCAGATTGAGGCCACAGTAATTCATTTGCTGGTTTTGTGTCATCCGAGCAAAGAGTTCCAGGCTCAGGCTCCATCAGCCCCCAAATCTCACCGGGCTGCAGTTTTCTCATCAAAGCCCAAAGACCCCCCACATCCTTGCCACGTAAAGTGCAATCAGATTCACGAACACTTAATTTTGGCGTGTTTTTGTTAATGTGTGGACTATTTAAGCCAGGGTCATACACATTAAAAGCATTCCAACCAGAAAGTGTCCGTGGGCTGAGGACCCTGATGGGAACTGCTCCGTCTGTGAGTGTCGGTCACTGGTTAGCCCTTCCTGGACACCAAGGCGACTTGGGGCACTGGGCTCTTGCAGGAAACACTTTGTCTTGGATCTGATTTCGTGCCCAACTGGGCCAGGGGCCACACAGGCCCTGGGGACACCAGTCCTTCCACAGTGCCCTGCTTGCTGTGCACTTTTTAAGTCCACTGATGGTGGGGAGTGGATTGTTTTCCATTATTTTAATGGATCTGCCCAGTATAGACGCCCTTTATCTTTGGCAATCTTCCTGGTTCTTGATGGCATTTTGAAAATATTTGCGGCGTTAGCAGGTTCACTTAGCAGACGATTTCATGTTTGTTTTTTTTGTTTTTTTTGAGACAGAGTCTCACTCTGTTGCCCAGGCTAGAGTGCCGTGGCATCAGCCTAGCTCACAGCAACCTCCACCTCCTGGGCTCAAGCAACCCTCCTGCCTCAGCCTCCCGAGTAGCTGGGACTACAGGCACGCACCACCATGCCTGGCTAATTTTTTCCATATTTTTAGTTGGCCAATTAATTTCTTTCCATTTTTTAGTAGAGACGGGGTCTTGCTCTTGCTCAGGCTGATTTTGAACTCCTGACCTTGGGCGATCCTCCCGCCTTGGCCTCCCAGAGTACTAGGATTACAGGCGTGAGCCTCTACGCCCAGCCTTTTTTTTTTTTTTTTTTTTTATCTCACCTCATTCCAGAAACAATCTAAGGCAGCTGAAGTTCACATCCTAACACAGTTCTGCCCGAGTGCTTAAGTCAAGGAAGGCTGTACAAGTGGGTGGATTTTCCGCAACTCACCCACCATGAAATCTTGGGAGGCCCTGGCAGGGAGGGGGCTTGGGGAGTGGCTGGGAGCACAGATCCTGGGTTCCCTGGCCTGGCCTGGTTCCTGGCACACCACTGACCAGCTGGGATACCTTGTGGGCCTCCCTTTCCTCATCTGTGAAGTGGGTGCAGAATAGCCTACCTCCAGGGGTGTGTGCGGGTTACGTGAGTGAGTGCCCACTGCTTGGCGCCCCTCAGTGCCTTGTTTAAATGAATAAAATACCTAAGAGTCTGGCTTCCATCTGCACCCCAACCTGGGACTCATTTTCCCAGAGGTGCAAACAGTCTGGGGGGGGAATCCCCAAATCTCGGGGTTTGTGGTCAGCTGCTGACATACGTGGTTCAGCTGCTAGGAGCTCTGCAGCAAAGCTTGCCACTGAGCCGGGGGGTTTTCATCTGACTGTGCTGCGATTTCGGGGTGCACAGCCTCAGGTCTAGGCAATCGGAACGTCTCACTGCATACTACGGCGTCTTTCCTGCAGATGTGACTGAGCTAAGGCGCTCTCTGGCCCCGTCTCTTCTCAGGCTCTTCCCCAGCCCAGCCTCCCTGGGGGCAGATTCCCGGTCCCCGGTCCCCGGGGGCTGCCTATCCCTTCTGAGCCTTCACCGCAGAGTGGCCGCAGTCTGTCAGCACCAGCCCTCTGCGGGCAGGGCCCTCAATGCTCTCCTGGCCCCCCGCACCCTGGCGTCTTGCCCAGAGCTGGCTGGCGCTGGGTCTTGTAGATGTCCCTTCAAATGACCGAGTGGCTTGGCCTGTTGTAAACTTCCTGGGGTTCTGACAGAGACTCTGGGGATGTGCTGTCACGTCCATGGGGGCGGGGAGGCAGGTGGACAGCACCGTCCCCCAGAGTCCTTGGTGACATCAGCACACACCTTGACTCTCTCTCTTCTCTTGCAGAGCCGTCAACCATGGTGCCACCAGCCAGCTCAGAAGCCCAGGTATTTTTAACCCAATTTCAAAGATTAAGTTGATACGTATTAAAACCTGCCTGTATCCTGCAATATAAAGTATGTAAAGTTGCCCAATTGGTTCAGCGAGGCATGGCACAGATAAAACGCTCAAGGGCTTCACTGAAGGGGCTTGGTGAAGAAGCTGTTCACGGAAGGCGGACGGTGGGGAGCCCGCTGGTGTCCCGGCCTCATGACCCCTGGGGACCCATCCCAATCTGGGTGCTCGGAGAAGAGGGTGGGCCCCCGGGGCGCAGGGTGCATTTCAGGGGCAGAGAGAAAAAAAATGAGTCCAATGACCCAGTGCCCAGGAACCCCCCACCCCCAAAACTTTCCCATCACAATAGGGTGTCATCGGGTATCTCCGCCTCTCCTACCCACCTACCCTGAGGTGATGTCTTGAATTTCATGGTTTCTAGTTTTGTTTTTGTTTTGAGACAGAGTCTCACTTTGTTGCCCTGGCTAGAGTGAGTGTCGTGATGTCAGCCTAGCTCACAGCAACCTCAAACTCCTGGGCTCAAGCGATCCTCCTGACTCAGCCTCCCAAGTAGCTGGGACTACAGGCATGCACCACCGTGCCCAGCTAATTTTTTGTATATATATTTTTAGTTGGTCAATTAATTTCTTTCTATTTTTAGTAGAGACAGGGTCTCGCTCAGGCTGGTTTCGAACTCCCAACCTCGAGCAATCTGCCCGCCTTGGCCTCCCAGAGTGCTAGGATTACAGGCGTGAGCCACCATGCTCGGCCAAGTTCTATTGCCTTTTTAAAAGCATAGCTTTATCATAATACCAATTGGTTGATTGATTGACAGTCTCACTTTGTCGCTCCAGCTAGAGTGCTGTGGCCTCATCATTGCTCACAGCAACCTCAAACCTCGGGGCTCAAGGAATTCCTCCTGCCTCAGCCTCCCGAGTAGCTGGGACTACAGGTGTCCGCCACCACACCCAGCTAATTTTTCTATCTTTAGTAGAGACGGGGTCTCGCTCTTGCTCAGGCTGGTCTCTTGATCCTCCTGCCTCAGCCTCCCAGAGTGCTGGGATTTCAGGCGTGAGCCACCTGTGCCCAGCCCACAATACCTATTTATGTCTTAATCACAGTGGCATACCAAGCATGGGTGTGGGGCACAGACCAGTAGAGGATACGCTGTCTGTTGTTGAGAATTTTGAAAACAGTCAAACCAGCCCAAAACCTGTGCTTTTTCTCGTCACCACATGCGGTACTTAACAGTGTTGGTGACAGACACCCCCCCTTGGATGCTGGCCTTGGAACAGCTCCCTGGGAGGGTTACCTGTGGCTCTCTGAAGCTGGTGTCCTGCTGTGTGTGGTTTCCTGGAGGTGGGTGGGGAGGACACACAGGCTCATTTGCATTGCGGTGTCTGACTGGCAGCCGTCCTCGTCATTGCTGCCTCATGTTTGCTTCCCCAAAGTCCAGTACACCTAGGGCTGGGAGGCCGCTGGGCCCTGCTGCCCACAGTCCCCAGATGGAGGTGTAGTTGCTGCCTGCCACCCTGAAGACTTCCCAAAGGGGCCGGTTATTTTTGTTTGTTTGTTTGTTTTTTAAACAGAGTCTCACTCTGTTGTCCAGGCTAGAGTGCTGTGGTGTCAGCCTAGCTTGCATCTACCTCAAACTCCTGGGCTCAAGCGATCCTCCTGCCTCAGCCTCCTGAGTAGCTGGGACTACAGGCATGCGCCACCATGCCCAGCTAATTTTTGTGTATATATATATATATATTTTTTAAATATTTTTTTGAGACAGAGTCTCGCTTTGTTGCCCTGGCTAGAGTGAGTTTCGTGGCATCAGCCTAGCTTGAATCAACCTCAAATTCCTGGGCTGAAGCGATCCTCCTGCCTCGGCCTCCCAAGTAGCTGGGACTATAGGCGTGCGCCACCATGCCCGGCTAATTTTTGTATATATTTTTAGTTGTCCATCTAATTTCTTTCTATTTTTAGTAGAGACGGGGTCTCTCTCTTGCTCAGGCTGGTCTGGAACTTCTAAGCTCAAACGATCTGCCCACCTCGGCCTCCCAGAGTGCTAGGATTACAGGCCTGAGCCACCACGCCCGGCCAGGAGCCTGTTATTATATACACCTTTAAAATATTTGCAGAGATCTTTGTGTGGACTCTTGTTGTTCTTAGAGGCCCATAAGTTCTCCTGCTGGCCCCGTCATGAGAAAAGGGGCAGGGAGCTCACTCCTGGGCTGTGTGGCCTGCACAGCCCCCGCAGTCCCCGGGCAGGAAGGTGTGGGGCCAGGGCTGTCTGCACCTGCTGGGCGGGCAGGGCTGGGGTCCTGAGACTGGCAGCTGCCCAGGTGTGTTCTTATGGGAAACAAGCATTCTTTGCCTTCCAGAGAAAGTTTCCAGTGACTTGGGGCACAGAACTGCTTTTATTGGAGCAGCTATCAGATAAGAAGCTCGGGTTGGAGTTAACTCTTTCACTGCCATGGTGCCAGCTCAGGCAAGTGACAGGAAAGAGGAGGGGAGGACAGGTCTAGGAGCTACCAGTGCTTGTACCAGGGAAAAGCAGGGCACAGAGGGTAGTTGACCATATATATGTTGGCGTCTCCCAAATGCCTTCCACAGAACCACTGGTTCCTTGGGGTGTTATTGGTGGATTGCGAAAATAGGGTTCCCTGCCAAGTAAAACTAAGAAATGCTGAGTTAAGAGGTCTCTACTGTGAGACTATGTATTTTTAATGTGCTTTCACAAAACTTATGGAGAATTTTTGAAGCATAGGCAGAGAAAGTAGAAAAATAGCCTTGTGGAGCCAGGCTAAGCTCCAGTGGTTACTAAGTTACAATCCTGGCCACCACCCTCTACCCACACCCCTACTCAGATAGGATTGTCTTTTAGGTTTTGTTTGTTTGTTTGTTTGTTTTTCAGGTTGCATTTACATACGTTGAAAAGTTACATGCACTTAAGAGTATTTAAGTGAGGGGACATCATGTTTTACAAGCATCAGGCTTTACTGCATAGAGTTAAGCAACTCCCAGCAGCATCTATTGAATCCGCTAGTCTTTCTCCTTCCACATAAAATACACTGTTGTATTCCATGAAAGCCTAATAGTTAGCCAGGTTGTCTTTTCTTTAAAATCAGCTTCATCAGGGTATATTTACGTGCAGTAAAATGCACACACTTTAAGGGGGCCATTTGATTAGTTTTGACCAACACCATAATCGAGATAACAGACCTGTTCTGTCACCCCAAATTTCCCTGTGTTCCTTCCAGTCCTGCACCCACCCCCGGCTCAGGGAACCCCTGCCCTGCCCTCTGTTGCTATAGATTAGGTTTGTCTCGCTTGGAGTTTCAAGCGAACGAACTTCGCAGAGTGAAGGCATTGGCTGCTGCCATTCAGCATCATGGGGGGTTCACGCCCTTTGAAAGCCCCATGGAATTGCACCCTAAGGAGGGGCCACATGTGTGCTCATCTATCGCTGAAGAATGTTTAGATTGCCCCAGGTCTGGGCGTCATGAGCATCCCAGTCTTGTGTGGATTTGCCTTCTCGATTTTCTCTTAGCTACATACCCAGGGTAGGAGGTGTCACGTGGCAGGTGCACACTCGATTTTAGAGTTTGCCAGGCTGTTTTCCAAAGTGTGCTATCTGCGGGCCGGACGCGGTGGCTCACGTTTGTAATCCTAGCACTCTAGGAGGCTTAGGTGGGAGGATTGCTCAAGGTCAGGAGTTCAAGACCACCCTGAGCAAGAACGAGACACCATCTCTACTAAAAATAGAAAGAAATTAATTGGCCAACTAAAAATATATTGAAAAAATTAGCCAGGCATGGTGGCGCATGTCTGTAGTCCCAGTTACTCGGGAGGCCGAGGCAGGAGGATCTAAAAATAGAAAGAAATTAATTGGCCACCTAAAAATATATAGAAAAAATTAGCCGGGCATGGTGGCACATGCCTGTAGTCCCAGCTACTCAGGAGGCTGAGGCAGGAGGATTGCTTGAGCCCAGGAGTTGGAGGTTGCTGTGGGCTAGGCTGATGCCACGGCACTCTAGCTCAAGCAACAGAGTGAGACTCTTACTCAAAAAAAAAACAAAAACAAAAAAAAACAAAGTGTGCTGTCTGGGGAACGTCCTGTTGCTCAGGTCCCTGCCTTGGTTGCACCGTGGCCTGTCCCCTCCGGAGGGAGTGCTGGCTGTTTCCCTGTCCCCGGTGTGAGCTGTGTTGGGACGATGGCTCCCTCTCCACTCTTGGCCTGCCACTTGGACCAGCCACCGTCCTCTGGCCCGCCTTGAGGGTTCTTGTCCACCCCCCGTCCCACAGATGGTGCAGTCGCTGGGCTTCGCCATCTACCGCGCCCTGGACTGGGGGCTGGACGAGAGCGAGGAGCGCGAGCTCAGCCCGCAGCTGGAGCGCCTCATCGACCTCATGGCCAACAGCGACTCGGAGGATGGCAGCTGCGCGGCCGCGGATGAGGGCTACGGAGGCCCCGAGGAGGAGGAGGAGGCCGAGGGCGGCCCCCGCGCAGTGCGCACCTTCGCCCAGGCCATGCGGCTCTGCGCGGCCCGCCTGACCGACCCGAGGGGCGCGCGGGCGCACTACCAGGCCGTGTGCCGAGCGCTCTTCGTGGAGACGCTGGAGCTGCAGGCCTTCCTGGCCAGGGTCCGGGAAGCCAAGGAGGTGAGGGGAGGGGAGGGTCCGGGTAGGGCCGGGGCAGGCGGAGGAGGGGAGTCCCAGGGAAGGGCGCGAGGCCAAGGCGGTGCTTCTGTGCACATGCGCGCATCTGGGGACCAGGCAGGGCCGTCTGTCTGTCTCTCTGTCTGCCGAGCAGAGAGTCTGTCCTCAGCGCAGTCTCTGCCACTTTCGGGGGAGCAGCCGTAACTCCACCGTTTGCCTTCTGTGCAGACACTTTATACGTTTTTTTGTTTGTTTATTTTTTGAAACAGAGTCTCACTCTGTTGCCCAGGCTAGAGTGAGTGCCCTGGCATCAGCCTCACTCACAGCAACCTCAATCTCCTGGGCTCAAGCGATCCTCTTGCCTTAGCCTCCCGAGTAAGCTAGGACTACAGGCATGCGCCACCATGCCCGGCTGATTTTTTCTATATATATTAGTTGGCCAATTAATTTCTTTCTATTTATAGTAGAGACGGGGTCTTGCTCTTGCTCAGGCTGGTTTTGAACTCCTGAGCTCAAATGATCCACCCACCTCGGCCTCCCAGAGTGATGGGATTACAGGCGTGAGCCACCGTGCCCGGCCTATCCCACCTCTTTGTGGACCTGAATTAGGAGCTGACTGTCCCCTCCCTGGGTTCTTACTCAGGCTCTCCCTGGAGGAGCTGGTATGTCTCCGTGAGGTGAGGTCTGTGTGGACCTCCTCTCAGTGTCTTGTAGATGAGGAAATGGGGCCTTGGAGAGGCTGCGGCTTTGCTTCACTCTCTCGCTTAGGTGCAGAAGGTGTGTTTTTTGGTTGTTTTGTTTTGTTTGTTTTTTTTTGAGGCAGAGTCTCACTCCATTGCCCTGGCAACAGTGCCGTGGCGTCACCCTAGCTCACAGAAACCTCAAACTCCTGGGCTCAAGCGATCCTCCTACCTCAGCCTCCCAAGTAGCTGGGACTACAGGCATGCACCACCATGCCCGGCTGATTTTTTCTATTTTTAGTAGAGGGAGGGTCTCGCTCTTGCTCAGGCTGGTCTCGAACTCCTGAGCTCAAGCAGCCAGCCCGCCTCAGCCTCCCAGAGTGCTGGGATCTCAGGCGTGAGCCACTGCTCCCAGTCAACACCCACCCCTTTCACACAAGGCACACCTGTGAGTGTTTCTGGATGTGTTGGATCCGCCCCATTCACTCATTCACCTGGTGCTGGAGGACCTAGCAGGGGCCGTGCCGTCCTGGGTCCCAGGCACCGATCAGAGAAGTGTCTGAATGCAGAACCCCAGCTAGGCTCACGTGTCGGGAGGCAGCTGTGGGTGCACCGAGAGGGCATGGGCACGTGTCCCGCCCGCACAGACCTGTCACTGAGACCTAATGGGATGGTGGAGCTTGCACACCTGTGCTGCCACCTGTGGAGGACATGGTGCCTCACTAGAGTCCCTGGATCAGGCTGTAGAAGGTGCCACGTGGAGTCAGGCTCTAACCTGTCCTTGCCAGAGAGAAGCTATCAGAGGAAGCACATAGGATGCCGAGTGCCCTGTGTGGTTCCACGGCTGATGACTTGGTTTCCCCAGAGACCTCTCTGAGCCCTGAAGCCTGGGCCAGAATGCTCACGGGTCCCTCTTTTAGCTGGTTGAGTGGCAGCCCCCGTGTTGAGGAGGCGTCACCCGGTCGGCAGGGCCCGAGGGCTCAGGCTGGCGCCGGCCGTCTTCCCACCCCCTCTGGACTAACCGGAGCCCGTGGCCGCAGATGCTGCAGAAGCTTCGCGAGGACGAGCCCCAGGTGGAGAAGCCGCAGGTGGAGCTCGACAGCCTGGGTCACACGGACTGGGTAAGCCCCGGCTCCTGACCCGGGAGCGGGCAGCCCAAGCGCGTGGAGGGCCCTGGAGCCCTGCCCCGGCCTGAGCGTGTCCTCCTCCTCCTCCTCCTCCTCCTCCTCCTCCTCCTCCTCCTCCTCCTCCTCCCGGGGCCAGGCCCGGCTGTGGGTCCAGCTCATGCGGGAGCTCCGCCACGGGGTGAAGCTCAAGAAGGTGCAGGAGCAGGAGTTCAACCCGCTTCCCACCGAGTTCCAGCTCACGCCCTTCGAGATGCTGATGCAGGACATCCGGGCGCGGAACTACAAGCTGCGCAAGGTCATGGTGAGTGGGCTGCTGCTGCCACCGCCCTCCCCCATGGTGGACCAGGGTCCCTGTTGCTGTGCCAGGGACCTGCTGCAGAGGATGAGGAAGGCAGACATGGTGCACATGGCCCAGGATGAGGTCATGTCGGGGACAGCGTAACAAGGCAGGAAAAGGGGAGGTAGAAGGTTCCGGAGGCCCAGGGATGGCTCCCGGAGAAGGGGCCACAAGAGCTGAGACAGCAGGATCTTTTTTTTTGTTTTTTGTTTTGAGACAGAGTCTCACTCTGTTGCCCAGGCTAGAGTGAGTGCCGTGGCGTCAGCCTAGCTCACAGCAACCTCAAACTCCTGGGCTCAAGCAATCCTCCTGCCTCAGCCTCCCGAGTAGCTGGTACTACAGGCATGCACCACCATGCCCGGCTAATTTTTTCTATATATATTAGTTGGCCAATTAATTTGTTTCTATTTATAGTAGAGACAGGGTCTCGCTCTTGCTCAGGCTGGTTTCAAACTCCTGACCTGGAGCAATCCGCCCGCCTGAGCCTCCTAGAGTGCTGGGATTACAGGTGTGAGTCACCATGCCCGGCCAGGATCTTTTGTTTAACGAGTACTTAAGTAGCCTTTCCACATGATGGTGTCATTCTTACGGTAACCCTGGGGGGTGAGCACTGCCAAGCCCGTGAGCAGATGAACCCACGCAGCAGGGGCTCAGAGCTGGGTTGGGAGGTGTTGGGCGGTGGGTGCTGCAGCCACCCAGAGCCCGGCCTGTGGATGTGCCGTGTGCGGGGAGGCAGCTGGGTCCCGGGCCAGAGGCTGTGAGAGGGCGGGTGAGTGAGTGTGAGGACCGGCCGTGGCCAGGCAGGGAGGGGTGAGCTCCTGTTGGCCACCCTGGCGCCAGCAGTCAGCCCTGCAGCCTCCGTCCTCGCTGGCAGGTGGACGGGGACATCCCCCCCAGGGTGAAGAAGGACGCACACGAGCTCATCCTGGACTTCATCCGCTCTCGGCCGCCGCTGAAGCAGGTACCTGCGTCCCCTGCCCGGGCAGCCTGGGGCCTGGGCTGTCCTGTGGCCGACCCAGGAGGCTCTGAGTGAGGCCGGCTGGGCCCCCTCATGCCCGGGGCTGGGAGGCTGGCCCCGGCCCTGGCGTGGGCCGCACGGCCCTGCGCCTGCTTCTCCAGGGAAAGGTGCACACGGACCGCCGGGGGTGGCACGCCCTCCGGGTGGGCCTGGCTGGTCCCCCCACTCCATGTCACGGCCCACCACCCACAGGTCTCAGAGAGACGGCTCCGCCCGCTCCCGCAGAAGCAGCGGACGCTGCACGAGAAGATCCTGGAAGAAATCAAGCAAGAGCGGAGGCTGCGCCCGGTGGGCGGCAAGGGCTGGGCCGCTCGTGGTGAGCCCGGGGGTGGGGGGAGAAGAGAGACCCCCGGCGGCCCTGGCCTGGGTTCCCCCACTTCCCCTGGGCCGCAAATCAGGAATGAATGTTGTGCCTGAGGCTTCCAGCATGTTCGGAAGACGCAGGGCATTTTAATCTTTGAGGTGTGAACGTGGGGGATTCTGGTGGCCTCGTACCGTTTTAGCAAGAGGTATGTAAAGGGCTGGGCGCGGTGGCTCTCCCCTGTCATCCCAGCACTCTGGGAGGCCGAGGGGGGAGGATCGCTCAAGGTCAGGAGTTTGAGACCAGCCTGAGCAAGAGCGAGACCCCGTCTCTACTGAAAATAGAAAGAAATTAATTGGACAACTAAAACTATATAGAAGAAATCAGCCAGGCATGGTGGCGCATGCCTGTAGTCCCAGCTACTCAGGAGGCTGAGGCAGAAGGATTGCCTGAGCCCAGGAGTTTGAGGTTGCTGTGAGCTAGGCTGACGCCACGGCACTCACTCTAGCCTGGGCAACACAGTGAGACTCTGTCTCAAAAAAAACACAAACAAACAAAAAAAACAATAGGTACATAGAGATAAAGTGATCTGTGCTCTGTCTGTTATCCAGGCTTCGCCCCACACCTGCCACAGGTTTTACAATAGTTTGACAAATTTCACGATCAGGAGGAAAATAAAATAAAAGCAAAGTTTTTTAGATGGGGGGAAAACAGGTACTTATTAAAATGTCTGAGACCTAACCCTCCTTTAAAATGCCCTCCGGAGTCTTCCGTCCTAAAACTACTGTTTATTTGAGACGGCGAACTCCACTCCTGCTTCTGCTCTGCCACTGTGAGATGGGGTGGCTCTCCCGGCTGGAGTTCCTCATTGGTTAGGTGCCTCAGTTTCCCCCTGCTGTGCAATGGGGGAATTAAGCCGTAGGTGCACCTGAGGCTGTTGGCTCCTGCCCGGTGCCCTCTCGGCCCCAGGCTCACTGTCTTGTCCTCCCAGGATTCGGCTCTCTGCCCTGCATCCTGGACGCCTGCTCCGGAGAGGCCACCTCCACCTCCTGCATCAACCTGTCCGTCCCAAACGCTGGGAGCGGCGTCCAGCGCCCGAGGCCCCGGGTGCTGCTCAAGGCGCCCACCTTGGCCGAGATGGAGGAGATGAACACGTCTGAGGTTGGAGCCCCCTGAGGGTCCTGGGGAAGGCCCAGGGAGGAGGGAGGGCGGGGAGGTCAGAGGGCAGCAGCAGCAGATTGAGCCTAGCGGGGCACCCCCTGCCCAGAGCTGCAGGCTGAGGCCTGTGGAGGCTGCGGCTGTGTCCTTTTTTTATTTTTGAGAGAGTCTCGATCTGTTTCCCAGGCTAGAGTGAGTGCCGTGGCGTCAGCCTAGCTTACAGCAACCTCCAACTCCTGGGCTCAAGCGATCCTCCTGCCTCAGCCTCCCGAGTAGCTGGGACTACAGGCATGCACCACCATGCCCGGCTAATTATTTTTCTATATATGTTAGTTGGCCAATTAATTTCTTTCTATTTATAGTAGAGACGGGGTCTCGCTCTTGCTCAGGCTGGTCTCCAACTCCTGAGCTCGAGCAATCCGCCCGCCTGAGCCTCCCAGAGTGCTAGGATTACAGGCGTGAGCCACCACCCCCAGCCATGCAGCTGTGTCCTGATGTGGCCCTGTCGGCTGTGCCTGCCCCAGGAGCAGATTGCTGGGCTCAGGGAGTCTTCCCCATCCTGGTGGCTCACGTGTTCGTGGACGTGGCAGTGAGCCATCGTCTCAGGGCCAGGAAACTGAGCAGCCCCTTCCCAGCGAGACTTCCTGTACCCCTCACTGCCCTCTGCGTGTGGCTCTCGCCTCGTCCCAGGAAGACAGGGCGGTGGCCTTGCTGGTGGCCTTCTCAGTGGGCTCAGCCTCCACCCGACACTAGATCCACCCTGGACTTTCTGGACAGCCTTGGGGGCAAGCCTGGCTGTTCAGACACTCGCCGTGAACGGCCAGAAGATGGCAGGCTGGGCAGTGAGTGGGGGCAGACCTCACGGCCCCCATGGGCCCCCCAGCTCCCCTGGGCCCTGTGCCGCCGTCCCTCGACAGGCAGGGCAGGGCTGGTCTGCTGTGTCCGCAGGAGGAAGAGTCTCCGTGTGGGGAGGTGACGCTGAAGCGGGACCGCTCGTTCTCGGAGCACGACCTGGCCCAGCTTCGCAGCGAGGTGGCCTCGGGCCTGCAGCCGGCCCCGCAGCCCCCGGGAGGGACAGAGCCCCCGCGGCCCCGAGCGGGCAGCATGCACACATGGAGGCCTGGCCCCCAAGACCAAGGCACGTGTTTCCTCTCACGCCCACCCTCCGTCCTCCCTCCGGTCAGCTGCCGTGTCCTCCCGAGCAGGCAGCCCCCCGGGGTCGGGGCAGCTGTCACCTGCACAAGGGTATCGATGGTCTTTGCCCGTCACCTTAGGAAGGTGTCCCCCTTTTTACTGAAAACTTTATGCTTTTATTTATTTATTTATTTTTGAGACAGAGTCTCACTCTGTTGCCCGGGCTAGAGTGCCGTGGCGTCATCCTCACTCACAGCAAACCTCAGACTCCTGGGCTCAAGTGATCCTCCTGCCTCAGCCTCCCGAGTCGCTGGGACTACAAGCATGCGCCACCATGCCCAGCTAATTTTTTCTATATGTATATATATATATATATTTTTTTTTCCTAAAACTATGGTGTTCAATCTATATGTATATATTTTAGTTGGCCAATTAATTTCTTTCTATTTTTAGTAGAGACGGGGTCTCTCTCTTTTTTTTTTTTTTTTTTTTTGAGACAGAGTCTCACTTTGTTGCCCAGGCTAGAGTGAGTGCCCTGGCGTCAGCCTAGCTCACAGCAACCTCAATCTCCGGGGCTCAGCGATCCTACTGCCTCAGCCTCCCGAGTAGCTGGGACTACAGGCATGCGCCACCATGCCCGGCTAATTTTTTGTATATATATTTTTTAGTCGGTCAATTAATTTATTTCTATTTTTGGTAGAGACGGGGTCTTGCTCAGGCTGGTTTCCAACTCCTGACCTTGAGTAATCCGCCCGCCTCAGCCTCCCAAAGTGCTAGGATTACAGGCGTGAGCCACCGCGCCCGGCCCGGGGTCTCTCTCTTGCTCAGGCTGTTTTCGAACTCCTAAGCTCGAGCAATCCTCCCGCCTCGGCCTCCCAGAGTGCTAGGATTACAGGTGTGAGCCACCACGCCCAGCCTGAAAACTTCATACTTGTAGAGACAGGGTCTCACTCTGTCACCCAGGCTGAAGTGCGGTGGCGTCATCACAACTCACTGCCACCTTGAACTCTTGGGCTCAAATGATCCTCCAGCCTCAGCCTCCCAAGTTACTTACTAGGACTACAGGTGTCAGCCACCGTGCCTGGCTAATTTTTTTTTAAATATGTCTTGTAGAGACGGGGTCTCACTGTGTTGCCCAGGCTGGTCTCGGACTCCTGGCCCCAAGCAATTCTTCTGCCTCAGCTTCCCGAGTTGCTGGAATTACAGGTGAGAGCTGCTGTGCCCGGTAAAAACTTTCTCACGAAATAGCCAACCCATATTCATTACAAAAACATTTTTTGGAAGGCTTTTAAAAAATTTCCATGATTCTAATACCTAGAGATGACTATTAACATATTGGAGACATACAAAGAAGATGACTAGGGGTAGACTGACAACAGGTAGACGGAAGATCGGGCTTCCGAGCCCTTTCCTCTGTGAATGGAAACGTGTGTCCACAGCAAGCCAGGTGGGCTTGTGCCACACTCAGCTCCGGGAACCTGATGGGACATGAGTGACGGCTCCCCACAAGCTCCTTCCCCACCAGTGAGCATAGAACGGTTTCTGCTGGCCTCGTGGTGCCGGTCCCAGTGCTGTAAATGCTGAGCTCTGCACAGTGTCACTGGGACGCTGGGTCTGCATCCCACCAGGCACGGCCAGGTCTCTGTTTGCCGGCCAGGTCATCTGCAGCAGCTTTCTGATCCCGTCTGGTACTTAAACCACTCACTTTGTGTTTTTTGTTTTTTGTTTTTGGTTTTTTTTTGAGACAGTCTCGCTTTGTTGCCCAGGCTAGAGTGAGTGCCGTAGCGTCAGACTCCTGGGCTTAGGCAATCCTCCTGCCTCAGCCTCCTGAGTAGCTGGGACTACAGGCGTGCGCCACCATGCCCGGCTAATTTTTTCCATATTTTTAGTTGGCCAATTAATTTCTTTCTATTTAAAGTAGAGACGGGGTCTTGCTTTTGCTCAGACTGGTTTTGAACTCCTGACCTCAAGCAATCCACCCGCCTCGGCCTCCCAGAGTGCTAGGATTATAGGCGTGAGCCACTGTGCCCGGCCTCACTTTGTGTTTTTATTATTATTTTTTCTTTTTTTCTTTTTTTTTTTTGAGACAGAGTCTCGCTTTGTTGCCTAGGCTAGAGTGAGTGCCATGGCGTCAGCCTAGCTCACAGCAACCTCAAACTCCTGGCTCAAGCAATCCTTCTGCCTCAGCCTCCCAAGTAGCTGGGACTACAGGCATGCACCACCATGCCCGGCTAATTTTATTTATATATATATTAGTTAGCCAATTAATTTCTTTCTATTTATAGTAGAGACGGGGTCTCGCTCTTGCTCAGGTTGGTTTCGAACTCCTGACCTCGAGCAATCCGCCCGCCTCAGCCTCCCAGAGAGCTGGGATTACAGGCGTGAGCCACTACGCCCAGCCTTCTTTTTTCTTTTTCGTTGTGTGTTTTTGTTCTTGATTTCAATTCTTTTCTTTCTTATTTTCATTTTTTTCTTTAAATCTTATTTTTTTTTTCTTACCATGTTTGGAGCTCATTGCCACTCACTTTGCAGTGCTCAGAGGGCCAGGTCAGGCTCACTCAAAACCTCACTCTTGCCCCAGATTTTCCTTTGCCCAGCTGCCCCCGGGACTCAGGAGGGAGCTCTGCCCCACCCCGGGTCTCCAGGGGGAGTGTGCCTGGTGCCTAGGGAGGTCTCACCTGCTGCATCTGCCCCTTGCGTGGCAGGCACTGCCAGGACCACAGGACCTCTAATGTCCATGAGGTTGTGGGGCTCGAATGCAGGGCCCTGGTGAAGGTTCCAACATAGCAACGTGCTTTCCACCTGACCCCTTTCGGGGCTGCCCTCCCCCCCGCCCCCAGGAACCCCCCCCCTGCTGTCTCCATCATCGGCACGGCCTCCCCCACCAGAACCCAGGTCATCCTGACGGGGCCTCCACTCTGCCTCCAGGTCCCTGTGCTGGGAGTGTCCCGTCCCGGCCGGACCCCAGCCCCTCCCTACGCAGCAACCTGGGCTCCAATGAGGACAGACCAGAGACTTCCGTGGCCCCAGAGGCCAAACACCTATGGCTGGTGAGGGATGCGCCATCAGTGGGGCTTGGGGGTCTCTTGAGTATCCCCCTCCCTGCCACGAGACATCAGCCTGGTGTCCAGGAGTGCTGGGGGCTCCGTCCCGTGGGTGTGGGTCTGACTTGGTCTCCAGGCGGGACGCTGTGCCCCCGTCTGGGAGGTGGGTCTTTGCTGCTGCCCACGGGGGCACGTTGGCATGGCAACCCCAAAGCCAGGGAGCTACCTTGCAGGGCTGTCCGGAATCTGAGTTCTGCGTGTGGTCTCTGTGAGGTTCAGGCAGGTGGAAAACTTGCACACCCTGTGCCTTCAGGAAGGTTTCACTGGGCCGAGACCTTGACTCTGGTGTGTGACCCTGCCCCGTGGGGCTTGGGCGCTGGGGACCTCGGCCCCTTCAGCCGTGGATTTCGTCTGCCTTGTGATTATGGAGAGCTGACGCTTGCTGATACGTGAGGTCCCCACATGGACCCCAGTTTCGGTGCATGATTTTTTTTTTTTTTTTTTGAGACAGAGTCTCGCTTTGTTGCCCAGGCTAGAGTGCCGTGGCGTCAGCCTAGCTCACAGCAACCTCCAACTCCTGAGCTCAACCGATCCTCCTGCCTCAGTCTCCCAAGTAGCTGGGACTACAGGCATGCGCCACCATGCCCGGCTAATTTTTTTTTATATATATTAGTTGGCCAATTAATTTCTTTCTATTTAAAGTAGAGACGGGGTCTCGCTCTTGCTCTGGGGCTAGTTTCCAACTCCTGACCTTGAGCAATTCGCCCGCGTCGGCCTCCCAGAGTGCTAGGATTGCAGCCGTGGGCCACCGCGCCCGGCCCAGTGCATGATTTTATGAAAAGACGTAACAGGAGTGTACGGCCACGGTGCAGCCTGCAGGCGTGGGTGTCAGTCAGCAGCGTGGCCGCCGTCACCCTGTGAGGCTTTACCAAGAGGCTCAGAGGAGAAGAGATGTTGAAATACTTTCAAAAGCATAAGTGTCATGTAAAAGTAAGGCAGCGTGAATATTCCCCAGACCAAATGCCCCTCTCAGTTCTGGACTCGCTGTCTTTGCTGTGCACGTTTCTGGGGTAGAGATCCAGAGGCGGCTGAGCTCGGGATTTCTCGGGAGGCTGCTGTGAGGACGGCAGCAGCGGGGGCTGCATTCTCAGCTGCAGGCGCGACTGGGGCGGGCAGGTCTGCTGCCGAGGCTCCCTCAGACGGCTGAGGGAGGGGAGGCTGAGTCCATGGCGTCTTCATTGGGCTTCTCCCCGGCACGCCCTGCCCCACCCCGCCCCAAGGAGCAGGTGGTCGGGACAGACGTGCTGAGTGCGGATGATGGATGCAGGGCAACACGTCAGGGGTCACAGGGCCTCCTGCGGGGAGGGCTCTGGCTGGTCTGGCTCAGCTGTGGTGTGTGTCTGCAGGCAGGGGCAGCTTGGACAAGCACGGGGAGCAGAGGAGTGTGGTCGTGAGGGCTGGGGGCCGGCTGGATGGGCTGGCAGGTGGGGGGGGGTCCTGGCCTGCTGCAGCAGGGCCTCCCCAAAGCAGAGCTGGGCTCAGGCACGGCCCCCAGGATCAGGAGGCTGGAGCATACATGTCTTAGGAAGCGGCCAGTCTTGTCCAGACTCAGGCCGGGAAGACAGGGGCATCCCCAGGGAAGGAGAAGCACTTTGGAGAGACTCCCACTGGGACGGCCTGACCCTCACGTCCCCCGTGCCCCCAGGAGTTCAGCCACCCTGTGGAGAGCCTGGCCCTGACCGTGGAGGAGGTGATGGACGTGCGCCGTGTGCTGGTGAAGGCCGAGATGGAGAAGTTCCTCCAGAACAAGGAGCTCTTCAGCAGTCTGAGGAAAGGGAAGGTGAGGTGGCTGGGGCCCAGGGCTGGTCAGGAGGCCTGAGGGGGCCAACACAGGGCTGGACCAGCGAGCTCTGGACGCAGCTGGGCTCTAACCGGGCCTTTCCATACAGATTTGCTGCTGCTGCTGGGCCAAGTTCTCACTGTTCTCGTGGCCACCTACCTGTCTCTTCTGCAAAAGGTGAGCCTTCCGTCCGTCCGTAACCACTTTGGTTGTGAATCCACAAGGGAAAGAGAGGTGGGAGGCCCTCAGGACAGTGCTGGCCTGCTTCCTGTGATTGTGGTTAGTGCGACCCAGGAAGGGCTTGCCTCCCTAGCATGCAGTAAGCAGCCCCGGCTGCGCCCTGCTCCAGGCCTGTCCCACAGACCATGAAAGCAAGATCTGAAGGGACCTCACCGTTCCCAAGTATCTCTACTGCTTCCCAGAATGATGCTCGAGAACAGGAATAAAAAAAAATACACAGAACCCAGCAAGATTATATGTCTGGTGTCTGATCAGATGTGACCGGGCATGCGAAAAACAAAACCAGAAAAAAATCAATAACAATATATTATAGTTTATAATATATATATAAGCAAAATGTGTTATAACGATAGCATTAAGGCCAGGGAGAGGGGCAATTGGAAATCTACTATAATAAGGTTCTTTTTTTTTTAATAATTAATTATTTCTCTTCTATTTGTTTTTTCCGTTGGCTGTCTTTTGTAGGCCAGGAATATAATAAGGTTCTTATACTGCACCTGAAGTGGCATAATGTTGCTTGAAGGTAGACTATGATAAATTAAAGATATACTATAAGCCCTAAAGCAACTACTAAAGTAAAACAGTTTGTCATGGCTGCACCAAAAGCCCTGATGTCACCACTGTGCAATTCATCCATGCCTCAAAAAACCACTTGTCCACCCTAAATCTATTGGGGGGAAAACTGGAGTTAGAACTACTAGGCCAATCATAAAAAATACTCAACCCAGGCTGGGCACATTGGCTCACGCCTGTAATCTTAGCATTCTGGGAGGCCAAGGCGGAAAGATTGCTCAAGGTCAGGAGTTTGAAACCAGCCTGAGCAAGAGCGAGACCCCATCTCTACTAAAAAATAGAAAGAAATTAATTGGACAGGTAAAACTATATAGGAAAAATTAGTGCGTGCCTATAGTCCCAGCTACTCAGGAGGCTGAGGCAGGAGGATTGCTTGAGCCCAGGAGTTGGAGGTTGCTGTGAGCGAGGCTGATGCCACGGCATTCTAGCCCGGGCAACAGAGTGAGACTGTGACTCAAAAAAAAAAAAAAAAAAAAATACTCCACTCAAAAGAAGGTGGGGAAAAAATAGTAAAGGGGAACAAAAAACAAATGGGTCAAAAAGAGAACAGGTAGCCAGATGACGGACTTCAACACAGCTCCGTGAATCATCTGAGATACCCAATTAAGAAACAGAGTTTCCCAAACTGCATAAAAAGAGTCAGTTACCTGCCACCTCTGAGACATGTAGTTTAAATATAAAGGCACTGACGGGTCAGAAGTAGAAGGATGAAAAGAGATACACCACACTAACACTGGGACGCTGAGGTTGATACATTCGTATCAAAAGAGACAAAGAGAGTTCAGAGCAGAAAATGTTACCAGAGCTAAAGCTTTGTTTGCTTCATAATAACAAAGGGAGGAACTAACAGTCCTAAACATTAACATACCTGGTAACAGAGATTGAAAATACATGAAGCAAAAATGACAGAACTATAGAACAAGGCAAAATAATTAAATCCACAATTATAATTGCTAATAGATATTTCAATGCTTTTCTCTCAATAATTGATACCACAGTAGACAGGAAGTTAAAAACTAAGGATACAGAAGGCCTGAACAACACTATCAGCTAACTGGGTCTAACTGACATAAATGGACTTCACACAACAGAAGATGTATTCTTCTCAAGTGCACATAAAGCATTTACCAAGAGAGACTATATCCAGGGTCACAAAACAAGTCTCAATAAATTTAAAAGGATTTAAGTCACACACAGTATGTTCCCTAAACAAAATGAAATCAAATTAAATTAACCCAGAGGTTTGTTGATTAAAAATTAATGATAGGAGCCGGGCACGGTGGCTCACGCCTGTAATCCTAGCACTATGGGAGGCTGAGGCGGGCGGATTGCTCGAGGTCAGGAGTTGAAAACCAGCCTGAGCGAGACCCGTCTCTACCATAAAAATAGGAAGAAATTAATTGGCCAACTAATATATATATATAAAAATCAGCCGGGCATGGTGGCTCGTGCCTGTAGTTCCAGCTACTCGGGAGGCTGAGGCAGGAGGATCGCTTGAGCCCAGGAGTTTGAGGTTGCTGTGAGCTAGGCTGACACCACGGCACTCACTCTAGCCTGGACAACAAAGCGAGACTCTGTCTCAAAAAAAAAAAAAAAAAAAATTAATGATAGGATATCCATGCAAGAGAATATTGTCCTTTGTCTGAGAAAATTAGTTTGGACAACTTGTACTCATGTGGAGAAGAGCCCCTGACATAGCCTTACAGAATAGTATGCCAAATACCTCTTTTTTTTGAGCCCGAGTCTCACTCTGTTGCCCTGGCTAGAGGGCCATGGCATCAGCCTAGCTCACAGCAACCTCAAACTCCTGGGGTCAGGCAATCCTTCTGCCTCAGCCTCCCAAGTAGCTGGGACTACAGGCATGTGCCACCATGCCAGGCTAATTTTTTCTATGTATTTTTAGTTGTCCAATTAATTTATTTCTATTTTTTAGTGGAGACAAGGTCTTGCTCTTGCTTAGGCTGGTTTGAAACTCCTAACCTTGAGCGATCCTCCTGCCTCGGCCTCCCAGAGTGCTAGGATTACAGGCGTGAGCCACCCCACCTGGCCCAAAATGCCTCATTTTATTTGTAAAATTTTGTGTGTTGTTAATATAAGTTTAGAAAAGTCTGGAAGATGGAAACTGTATTACTAGCAGAGGTCATCTCTGCTGGGCTGTCTAATGTTTGAATTTTTACAAGAAGACATTTACTTTTCAAATCAGGTATGGGAATAAAAAAATATGAATCGCTGCTTAAAACTGAGCATCTCAGTTGAGCCCCCTCTGGCTTAGGCGGTTGCTCTGTGGGTGAGAAGCGTGAGGCAGGAGAGAACACTGAGGGCAGGAGTGCTGGGGGTGGACAGCTAAGTATAGTGAAAAGCAGGATTTGGAGTAAAATGAGAGTAAAGTGTTGAAGGAAGCAGGGACCATGCGGAAGGTGAGGACGGTCTGACCCAGGCCGGGGCCGGGGCCGTGGGGGTGGAATGTGGTGCCTGGCACACAGCTGACACTGCCCTTCTTTCCTTCCCTTCCAGAGCCGTCTGCACTTCTTGTAGCATGAAGGTGAGCCTCGTTTGGGATCTTTGGGGCTTGACTGAGGTAGGACAGGGGCTCTGCTGTCTTCCGTTGGATGTATTGGTAGTCCCGTCCTCACCGGGTGCCTCATCCGTCTCCTTCCTCCATGCCAAGTCCACACCTGCACTTTTCAGGGCTGTGTGCAGTTTGTAAAGACCCCTGTAGGTGTTTTGTTTTGTTTCCTCCAAACGTTCCTTGTTAGTAGGCTGGTGCCGAGAAACCTTTTACTTCCCCTCTAAAAGTCCTACCTTCTCACACTCGACAACTTCCTTGAGTGTTTTATTGCAGTTTGGGTGTATGGTTATGTGCATGTGTGCACAGACATAAACGGCTAATAACATCTACCAGTATGTCATCCTATCCTGCCTCAGCTTAGAAACAAGAATCTGCTTAAGAACAAGAGCAAGACCCCATCTGTACTATAAACAGGAAGAAATTAATTGGCCAACTAAAAATATGCATAGAAAAAATTAGCCGGGCATGGTGGCGCGTGCCTGTAGTCCCAGTTACTCAGGAGGCTGAGGCAGGAAGATCGCTTGAGCCCAGGAGTCTGAGGTTGCTGTGAGCTAAGCTGACGGCATGGCACTCTAGCCCAGGCAACAGAGTGAGACTGTCTTAAAAAAAAAAAAAAAAGAAAAGAATCTGCTTAAGAGGAACTTCCTAACATTGGCAATGACAAAACTTCCACCTCATCAATGTTAATTTTTTTTTTTTTTTTGAAAAAAAAAAATTGCCTTGCCTGGGCTAGAATGCCATGGAGTCATTGCAGCTCACGGCAACCTCAAACTCCTGGACTTAAGCAATCCTCCTGCCTCAGCCTCCCAAGTAGCTGGGACTACAGGTATGTGCTACCACACCCAGCTAATTTTAATTTTTTGTAGAGATGGGGTCTCATCATGTTACTCAGGCTGGTCTACATCTCCTGGCCTCAAGCAATCCTGCCCCCTCAGGCTCCTAAAGTACTGGCATTACAGGCATGAGCCAGCATGCCTAGCTCAATGTTAAATACTGATCAAGTGCAGGGCATGCTGCTAGATCCTATGGCATAAAAAAGCACACAGTTCCTGCCCCCTAAGAAGTCCCTGTCTAGGCTGGGTGTGGTGGGCGTGGTGGCTCACGCCTGTAATTCTAGCACTCTGGGAGGCCGAGGCAGGTGGATTGCTCAAGGTCAGGAGTTCGAGACCAGCTCTAGCAAGAGTGAGACCCCGTCTTTGCTATAAATAGAAAGAAATTAATTGGCCAACTAATATATATAGAAAAAATTAGCCGGGTGTGGTGGTGCATGCCTGTAGTCCCAGCTACTGGGGAGGTTGAGGCAGAAAGATCGCTTGAGCCCAGGAGTCTGAGGTTGCTGTGAGCTAGGCTGACACCATGGCACTCACTCTAGCCTGGGCAACAAAGTGAGACTCTGTCTCAAAAAAAAAAAAAAAAAAGCCCCTGTCTAGATGATCAGAACATGAGGTGGGTGCGTGTAACAGGCAAGAAGACATGCACTGAGTCTTCAGACAAAAGGCACAGAGGACATGTCAGAGAGCACAGGGACAGCTCTGGCTGCACTGTGTCCCCCAGGGCAAGGAAGGGGGTTTTCCCAGCACTAGGTGTGTCCTGCCCTGTCCCCGTGGGGGTGGCCTGGACCGCACCTTGCTCTGTGCTGCAGATGAAAATGCCATCTAAGAAGTTTGCACACATCCCTGTCTACACGCTGGGCTTTGAGAGTCCCCGGACGACATCGACTGCCAAGACCACGCCGGCGCAGAGAAGAGACGTGTTCCAGTGCGTGCTCTGCCGTGTCGCGGGTGTTGCTGGGTGGTCAGGCGCTAGCCGTAACTCGGGAGCTGGAGGGCAGGGGGGCTGGCTTTGTCCTTTGTCTGTTTGCTGGGACACCCCCAAGAAAAAGGGAATCGAGGCAGCTGTTTGAGACGAGGTCACCGTGGAGGGCTCTGGGAGGCTAAGCAGGGTGAGGTGGAATTGGGGTGTGGTGGTGGAGGAAGACTCTGCTGGGATGCACGCTGCCAGCCATGCTCACTACAGAAACCCGCGAGGATGTCTGTGGCAGGGGCAGGGTGACGGACAGGGAGGTGTGGGGTGGAAGACTAGGTGGATTTGGGGTTCCAGAGGGCTGGGGGTGCGAGGGGGGAATCTTGCACCCTGGGGAGTTCTTCTCCCTGATGGTCCTCCCCTCCCCCCAGATCCCTGCAGGGGCCGCAGTGGCGGAGTGTGGAGGAGGAGTTCCCCCACATCTACACCCACGGCTGTGTCCTGAGGGACGTCTGCCGAGACTGCACCAGCTTCGTGGCCGACGTGGTGTGCTCCAGCCGCAAAAGCGTGGACGTCCTCAACACCACGCCGCGACGCGCCCGCCAGACCCAGTCCCTCTACATCCCTAACACCAGGACTCTTGACTTCAAGTGAAGGCCCAGGGTGGCCAGGCCCCAGGGAGGAGCCAGGCTGAGACGCTGAGCAGCCCGCAGCCCTCCCGAGCTGTGCATGTATATATATACATATATAGATACATTTATATAACGCACACAGCCTATATATTTATATACATTGTTTCTGGCCCCAGAGTTCATCCGGATCAGGCTCACTGCAGGGCCCTCCTGGGGCAGGCTGTTTCCTCTCAGGACTCCTGAGGGGCACAGGGGAGGGAACGAATGGGAATGGTTTTTCCCACAGAGTGGGGAGTACAGAAGGTTCTGGATTCAGGGAGTCCTGGCATGGACTCCCCTCCCGTGTTCCAGCTCTCCTCTCCATCACAGGAGTGAAAACACGGCAGCTTCCCCTCCCTGGGTTGACGTCTCGGTGGCGATGGCACCTTGCTCCCAGGTGGACCAGGCTCCCTGATACCCCTGCCCTCCCTTGGGGGTAACCAGGCAGCAGGGGCACCTGGGAAGACCCTGAGTGGGCAGGATTCTCCGGAAGCATCCTCTGCTTCCGTCTGGAAGGCTTGGGGCCCACACCCCAGCCACCCTGCAGCTCTGGGCTCTGCCACAGCTGGTGCTGGCCTTCCCGTGAGGTGCTGGCCCACGCGTCCCGGAGATGCCGGGTGGTGCCGCACAGGGAGGAGCAGCTCCTTGATTCCGCACACGTGGCCGCTTTTGGCCTAACAAAGGTCGTGACAGTCTTCTGTCTGGGTGTGCACCGAGGACTCACCCAGCTATCGCAGTGGGCATTTGGCCCAAGGCTGAAGGTGGGCTCTGGGGGCCACCTGCCCCTGAGGTCCAGGAACGGCCTCCTCAGCTCAGTACAGTCTTAGGGTGCCCAAGCTCATTCCCAGCCCCTCCCCCCACTGGCTCCCTACCAACTCCATGGGCCTGGCCGTCTTGGGCTGCATGTGACACAGCTTAGGCCACGCTTGCCGGCCTCGGGGATGCTTTGGTCTCGTTCCCAGATCCCTACTCTGTTCTCCAGGGAGATGATTCACCTGGGTTCACAGGGGTGAGAGGTGCAACCTCAGCAGCTCAGGTAGGCCTGCGCTCACCACTCTGCCTGCTCACATGCCCCAGGAGGTGGGTTCTGTCGTCATCCTGCCTTAAGATGAGGAAGCTGATGCTCAACAAGGCGAAAGACTTTGACCAAAGACACACAGCTCACCCAGGGACACCTGGGACCTCAGTGGAGGCCTTTTGAGTCCAGGCTCCAACGCCTGCCACGGAGCCCGCAGGAGGCCCTGCAGGGACAGGACTTGTAACAGATGGGCCTACGGGAGAGAAGTATCAGCCAGGGGCCAGGAAATTCCACATACACAAAATTAGAGCAGCCAATAAAAACAGCCACCTCCCAGCACTTGTCTGAGCACTTTACAGACTCCTGGTCTGTGTATTTTTATTTCTGTTTAAAAATAAAACCGGCACGGAGAGGGTCAGGTATTGCCTCTGGTCACACAGCCAGCAATAAGAAAGTGAATGTTTGTGCAGCTCTCTCGTGGGCAGACGCTCCTGGGAGGTAAATACTATTATTATTACTCTGATTCTATACTTGATGCTGGTGCTCCCAGTCATGAGGCGACTGGGTTCTAACCATATGGAACACTTGGAAATGAAAGCCCACATGAAAACATAGGATAAGCACACCTGGGAACAGGTGGGCTGAGCTCAGAGGGACAGTGCCTCTGGGACTGCCCAACCCTGGGCAGAGCTGCTTCCTGAGTCTGGCTGCAGCAAAGTCAAGAGGGAGAGCTGCGGGCATTTCTGCCTCCTTGGTGCTGCTCTCAGAGCTGCTGGACCCACCTCACTCCCCAACGCCAGGTACGGGAAGCTGTGCACTCAGCGCACTAAACCAAGCCCTGCCTCAGCTACTTTAGATCTTGATGAGTGGAGGTCGCTTACTCTAAATGTTCCTTGCTGAGGACCAGGCCTTCAGCAGTGTGGGGAGAAACTCCTGTTCCGAGTTGCCTGTTTAGGGAAGATATTCAGGATGGGTCTGTTGTGTCCCTCACAGTGTACACGACCTCTGTCTCGCAGAGGCAGTTCCAAGCTGAGACCCCCTCGAGTTTCCATCTGCAGACCAGGCAAGAGGTCGGCATAAATCGGTCGGACCACTTGACCAAGAGTGACACAAAACCACTAGGCTGGACCTGAACAGTCAGACACAAGGGTGGTGTCCTGAGGATACTCCTTAGTTGCTGGATTGGGGGAGGGACCCAGGGAACTGTGTGGGAGAGGCTGGGGCAGGTGGAGGGCTCGAGGCAGCTGCCATGTGAAGTGTCCCCAGACTCTAGCAACTGGTACAGGACAGCTGACAGACCGGCCATGCCCAGAGTCAAGTAACAGACTCCCACTCCTGGGGGAGGCGGGATGGGTGTGGAAGCTCAGGTACCAGCACAGGCCCCCAGCAGAGATGAAGGGGGGGCGTGATCCCAGAGGCCACGACCCACCTTCTCTGTCCTTGTAGCAGTCTTCCCCCTTGGACTCTGGATGCACAGACCCAAAGGCAAACCAGGTTCTCTCTGGATCAGTTTCTTCCCCTATGAAAGGGCAGGATGAGGTTAAGAATCTAGTATAGGCCCCCAACGTGAGGATCTCCCCCCCACTAAAGGCTGCCCTCTCCTCTCTGCTGTCATGTGAGGAGGGCACCTTACCCAACACCAATTCATCTTGATCTTGCACTTGGACTCCTGCCGGTTCTCAATCCTGGCTGAAGAGCTTTTAAAAAACATTTTTGCTGGACCCCACCTCAGAATCTCGGGGGATGGGCCTTGTGCCTTGACTGTAAAAACCGCCCCAGGACGTGGATGGCCAGCAAGGGTGGAGGGCTTTGACCACTTTAGGCCACTGATTCCCGTACCTAGACTACCACGAAGACTAACTCCCAGGACCCGGCCCTAAGGTCCGCTTGGGGTGGGCCTTGGGGGAGGAGGGTGTCCGGGAATCCCACCCTGGAGCTCGCCGGTTCGGACGTGCTCGCGTCGGACAGCCCGCCTGCCGCAGAGGCGGAACCGAACAAGGCCCCGCACGCGGGCGCCGCAGGGGTGCTCCGACCCCGCCGCAGCTCGTCCACCGCGCGTCCCTCCCACACGCGCCCCGCCTCACCAGGGTCTCGTCGCGGCTGCAGGTGGTTCTAAGCCCCCGCCTCCGCCCACCTTCTATCCCGCTTCACCTGAACACCCGGAGAAGCGCCACACACTGGTGCTGGCGGGACCCGCCCAACTCTCGCGAGAGCTCATCCGGACGCGCCCAAACCTTCTTTGACGCCGCGGCTGACTAGAGGAAGTTCCGGAGAGCCGCAGCGCGCAGGCGCGACACGCCAGCCTCGCGCCAGCGCGCCGTAAGTGCGCAGGCGCGCCAGCCGCTCTCTTTTCTGGTCTTCCTTCTCCGTCTTTCCAGACGTCAGCGGCCGTTGGGTTCTATGTCGCGCCGGGCCCTCCGGAGGCTGAGGGGGGAACAGCGCGGCCAGGAGCCCCTTGGGCCCGGCGCCCTGCAGTTTGACCTCCGTGATGATGATGACGTGGAAGAAGAAGGGCCAAAACGGGGGCCTGGTGGCCGACGCCCCGGGTGCGCAGAAAAGGAGGGCGTCCACGTCAACAACCGGTTCGAGCTGGTGAGGAACCGGGGGCCGCAGGTGGGGGGGCGGGGTGCAAGGCGGGTCTGCGCGGGGTGGGCCGTGACGTCATGGGAGGGCGGGGCGAGCGTCAAGTCGAGTATGGACTCTGGCGGAGTGGGCGGGGCCGGCTGTCAGGGTGGGGCGGGGCGACGTGGGTCTGGGCTGCAGTGGGAGGGGCGGGGCTATGTGTCAGGGGGCGGGTCGATGGAGATGGGCGTGGCTAGGTGAGGCTTGGATGGTGGGGAGGGCAGGGCCCAGCGGTGGGCGGGGCTCCACGTCTCTGGATCTGGAGGGGTCTTTGGTTCTAGGCTTGAGCATCTTGTAAGACAAGCACTTGCAGGACCTCAGCACCCACTCTGGTTTAATCCTCACAACATCCCTGCTTAACCTAGGACAGCATCTTGCTCCTCACGACATCCCCCGCAGCAGGTGTCTGCACAGGAGAATAACGCAGTAAATGCCATTTAGGGTCCTGTGATGTTTTCACCTTGTCACTGTCCGTAGTCTGTAACGTTTCATGTGTGTGAATTATCTGATTCTGGCTTCTCTGACCTGCCCGTGCGGGCAGGTAACATGTCTGTTCTGCTCACCTTGTATCTCAGCACAGCATGATGAATCAGCCCAAAGGGATTCCTGCTCGGGCCCTGCTGCCTGCGTGTGCCCTCCTGATTTCTGATAGGATGTTCATCTCACCCACTCAGACCTCCTCATCTCTCTCCCCTCTGATGTCTCCCAGACATCTCAAACTCCACGTGTCCCGATGTTGGCTAACCTTACTGTCTCTGTTGAGAGCTTCTCCACCGTTCCTGTGGCCAGGGCCGGCCGCCTGGAAGGCGTCCTGGTCTGTCGCCCACCCCACATGCAGAGCGGACCGTTGGGAACCCCTGCGGTGGTGATCCAGGTACATGGGGACTGTGACTGTCTCTCACTCTCCACCTCTGCTCTTGTTCCCATATGGTCTGTTCCAAACACATGCTGACCACAGCCTCCTTTCCCTGGCCCGCCCAGTCTGCCTGTTATCCCTACTGTCTCGTCCTTCCTGACCTTGCTCGCTCTGCTCCAGCTGCACTGACCGGCCTGTGCCCCCTCTTGCCTAGGTCCCCTTTGTTCAAGTGCCACCTCACAGCCTTGCCTTCCCTGTCTACCTGATGTAGATCAAAGTCACCTCCATACTCCATCTTCTTTATTGTGGTCTTTTTTCCTGACAGTTAGCACCAAACATACTGTATAAACTACTTATTCTTTTTACTTTGCATTGCTTGTCTCCTACTGCTTGGAATGTAAGCTTCACAAAAACAGGCACTTTAGTATTCACTGATGTGGCCCCACCACCCAGAGCAGCCACCCACAGGTCCGTACCTGGTGACTTCATGTGTTAGCGCTGCCTTCAGAGAGACCACTGGGTACTACCTGTGGTCAGAGTGTGTGTGTGTGTATGGACTGTAGAGTCAGAAAGACCTAGGTTTGAATCCTAGCTCTCCCTCTTCATAGTTGTGAGAACTTGGATAAGATCTGCAAGATAAGCTTTGGTTTCCGTATTTCTTGAGGAGGTTGTTACTTACTTGTGGGGTTGTCATGGCGCTACTAACGTATGTAGCGTTTAGCACATACTAGGCACATAGCACTCAACAAATGTTGATATTATATAATGTTGAAAATAAGTGAAGGGAACAAAAGAACTTCACTAGGAACAAGCACCCGAAGTGGTTCAGGGTCCGAGGGAGCACAGACTGGTTGCTGCAGTCTCCTTGATTTGCTTCATAGCTGAGACTGTCCTTGTTGCTGGACCTTGGGGGAGTTTCTTTGGCTTTAGATTAGAAATCATGTTTCCCATTTCAGTCAGAGTGAGTTTTTTTTTTTTTTTTTTTGAGACAGAGTCTCACTTTGTTGTCCAGGCTAGAGTGAGTGCCGTGGCGTCAGCCTAGCTCACAGCAACCTCAAACTCCTGGGCTCAAGCGATCCTCCTGCCTCAGCCTCCCGAGTAGCTGGGACTACAGGCATGCGCCACCATGCCCGGCTAATTTTTTTTATATATATATCACTTGGCCAATTAATTTCTTTCTATTTATAGTAGAGACGGGGTCTCGCTCTTGCTCAGGCTGGTTTTGAACTCCTGACCTTGAGCAATCCGCCCGCCTCGGCCTCCCAAGAGCTAGGATTACAGGCGTGAGCCACAGCGCCCGGCCCAGAGTGAGTTTTTAAGAATCAACTTTCCTTTTGCCTCATTGCCCTCCTGAGAGCAAGATGGATCACCAGCAGCTCTATTGGAGCCACCTGAGAAAATTCGGCCAGAGTTCTCGCTCTTGTCGCATCTGCTCAAACTGTCTGATCCAGAAATTGCACAGTCTGATCCAGAAATACGGCCTCAATATGTGCCGCCAGTGTTTCCATCAGTATGTGAAGGACATCCATTTCATTAAGTTGGATCTTCTTTGAATGGATTTTCCACGGCACCCACAAAATGAAAGAGACCATGCTGGCTCTTTGTATATAAAATAAAATTCAAAAGAAACTTCAAAAAAAAAAAAGAATCAACTTTATTGAAATATAATTTATATATAATGAAACACACACTTTTCAAGTATATCGTTTGAATTTGGCCAAGTGTATACAGCAACGTACCTACCCCCCGAGTTGTTTTTCCATCCCTATTTCTACCCTGCGTCTCAGTCCTAGGCAGCCACTGAGCCACTGGTCTGCTTTTTATCCCTGTATATTAGTTGTGCCTGTTCTAGAATTTCATATACATGGAATCACACAGAATGTGCTCCTTCGTGTCTGGCTTCTTGCTAGCGTATGCTTTTGATACTTACTCATGGTATAGGTGTTCATGGCTTGTTCCTTTTCATTGCTGAGTAGTAGTATATCGTATGGATATACCATAGTTTTTTTGTCCATTCTCTTTTAGATGGATATCTGGGTTGTTTTCCAGTTTGGGGCTATTATGAATAAAGCTGTGTGACCATTTGTCTACAAGTCTTTTGTGGACATATGTTTTCATTTTGCTTGGTTGAATACCTAGGAGTAGAACTGCTAGATCATAGTGTAGGTATATTTTAACTTGATAAGGATTGCCAAACAGTTCCAGGTGGTTGTAGCATTTTAGTCCCCCATCAGCAGTGTATGAGCGTTCCAGTTGCTCTGGGTCCTTGCCATTAGTTGGGATGTCAGTTTTTTACAGTCAATCTTTAGATGTGTATCGGCAAACAGTTTTAATCTGCATTTCCCTGAAGAAGTTGAACATCTTTTCATGTACTTATTAGCCATTTGTTTGTCTTCTGTGAAGTCTCTGTTCACATTTTTTTGCCCATTTTCTATGGGATAGTTTGTCTTTTCTTTTTTCTTTTTTTTTTAACAGACAAGGGTCTTACTATGATACCTGAGCTAGCCTCAAACTGGGCTCAAGCAGTCTTCCCTCCTCAGCCTCCCAAGTAGCTGAGACTACAGGTGTGTGCCACCATGCTCAACTTACTTTATAAGGGTTCTGTATGCATTTTGAATACATGTCTTGTGTCAAATATATATATTGTGAGTATTTTCTCCCAGGAGTTATTCCACGTAAAAGTAGCTTATTAACTAACGAGTATTAACTCATCGAGGTTACAGTGAGCTATGATTTGGCTACTGTACTCCAGCTTGGGCAACAGAGCAAGACCCTCTCTCCAAAAAAAAAAAAAAAAAAGATAACTCTTTAATTGCTGCACATCACAGTGATTTTAATACATTAGAAGAATATTTAAGATTAACAATTCAAGTCAGGCATGGTGCCTTGTGCCTGTAATCCTAGCACTCTGGGAGGCTGAGGCAGAAGGATTGCTTGAGGTCAGGAGTTTGAGACCAGCCTGAGCAAGAGCAAGACTCTGTCTCTACAAAAGGTAGAAAAATTAGCCGGGTGAGATGGTATGTGTCTGTAGTCCCAGCTACTCTGGAGGCTGAGGCAGGAAAATCACCTGAAACCAGGAATTTGAGGTTGCTGTAAGCTAGGCTGATGCCATGACACTCTAGCCCAGGTGACAATGAGACTCCGTATCAAAATAAAAAAAAATTAAGAATTCAGTTAAGATTCAATTAAGATTAATTCAATTAAGGTTAATTCAGTTAAGATTAAGAATTCGGTCATTAACCTCACATAAACCTATATAAGCATGTTTCTTTTTCCTGCTGCTGCAAAGTTTGAAGAAACAGTCTGTACACTCACTCACTTATTTTACTTTATTTCTGACATCAAGTCCAGCTTCAGGAATCCCCAAGACCACCCTCAAATTCAGTGATGTGCTGGGAGGAGTCACAGAACTCAATGAAGCTCTTACACTCACAGTTATGGTTTATCACAGGGAAAAGTTGCAGATTAAAATCAACCAAGGGAAGAAGCGCGTAGGGCAGAGTCCAGAAAAGGACTAGATGTGATGCTTCCATTGTCCCCTCCCTATGGACACATTACTCCCACTGGCATCAGTGTGTGATAAGAGGCATTACTGTTGCCAACCAGGAAAGATCCCCCAAGCTGTGATGTTTGGAGTTTTTATTGGGGCTCCAATACTTAGGCGTTATTGATTGCCCAGTGGCTGGTCTCAGCCTCCAACCTCTCAGTAGGTTGAGCTGATGACTAAGGACACCCCCACCTTAAATCAGTTGTTGG